GTGGTTAAAAACAACATCTAATAAGGTTGATTTTAACTGTGCCCAATATTCTTATTTCACTAATTTAAGACACAGGGCTGATAGGACACCCTTAGTGCCCTTCCTGTACTTTAATTAGCTTAATTTGTGCAAACATGTTAAGACCTGGCTAATTAGCATACCATTGGAATTGAAGAGAAATAGCTCTAAGGCAGCAGCGTGTTCCAGCACACAGGCAGCATTTTACAGCTTGTACAGCGAGTGTAAACATGGGCTAAGTATGACTTCAGCACAGATCCGCTCATTCACTGCCTTATGAAGTCTTGTGTGTTTTAAGGAAGGGGAAAAATGTATGGAGATTTATTCCTGGTTCAAGTCAGACGCAGGGGGACCTTTGAGTGTATGTCTGAATCCTATTTTTCTTCAAAGGGAGTCTAGACACACCACAGTGACCAGCGCACTGAGACTCACTTATATGTTTAAATGTAACGCCAGTTTTAAAAAGACCTGTGCTCCCCTAACAAAAATACTGCAACCATAAATATAAACCGCTTTGAAGAGAGGGTTAAATTATATCAGGCAAGACGCACCAGGCAGTAAGACTTGCTATGATTGGTGAAGGATAAACAGAAAAGCTATAAAAAGACAAAGTTGCCTATTCAGAGGTAATAATAATAGCTCTCAAGCGCCTGTCGTGATAATTACTATATCGACTTATTGTTCAGTACATTATAGCTGGAACAATAACTTTTGTGGATCAAGATTTATTGTGAGAATACTTTTTTCTTCTCTGTACTAGTGGGAAACCTTTTGTTATATTCTGAACTACGATAAGATTTAAGCTGTCATTACAGATACAAACTAACTACTAAAGTGCTGTTCATTTATTGCAGTTTGTATTTTTTTTAAGTTTTTTGTTTATCATTTATATCTATATTTTCTATATACTGTATTTTAAAATGTGTTATCGTGACAGGTCTAGGGCATTGTTTCCCAAAGACTGGATCGCAACTCTCAGGTGTGTCACAAGAGATTTTTTTTTTGTTCACCTTGTTACGATCTGCATGTAGGTCTGCAATATATATATAAATACATCTCCTCACTTTTTCGGTAGCACCGCCTTGCCGAACCAATTTTTCTATAACACTGATTACTATTTTTCATTGTTTAAAACTTCAGTAATGCTAACTGTTCAGACAGACACGATCACTCAGTCAACAATAAAATATCCTCATTAATCTTCAATAATGGTCAAATCCACCTTTATTTTGTTATTTACGAATAATGTCGATTGACTTGGGTCGCGAAGATTTGTGACTTTTAAAATATCGGTCCTCAGAAAAAAAGTTTGGGAAACACTGGCCTAGGAAATACCACTTCTACTGTCCATTACATGTCAGTAGTACTGTATAGTAGGACAAATTTTATATTCAATTATAGATAAAAACATTCAGCTTATGATCCACTATTTGTAAACTTGAAGTACTGTAACAAATTCAACCAAAAAAGGTTTACTGCTGTTTCTTTGGGTGTGACCAAAATGTCCACAGTTCAAATCCAACATCATCCAAAAACATCATCATTTATGAAATTAATAATGGCTTTATTTTGGTGTAAATCTATGTCTGATACTTTAGCTTGAACTTGCCATTGATGTCTGTACACACACTGGTGTTTGCTGTTAAGGAGGCCAGTTTGGTCTTGTTCTGAGCCAACACACAGGACTATTAAAGAAGCTTATTCTGTCCTGTCCTCCTTTAAACAAGTCACGTCCTGCTTAGAAATGGACTGACCCGCACTGACCCAAATGACTGTCATATAACTACTGTAAATAAAAGATAATATCTAAATTCAATTAGAATTACTGATTAGCGTAAATGTAAAACTAAATCAACGTGTGTATTTGTACATAGAGCAGATGTGAACAGCCAGCCAAACTCTCCCCAAACACCGAAAGCCCAAAGGATTCCTGATTATTTGGATTATCAGAAGAATTCAGGGGAAAATGTTTCTTCTGGTCAAAGTGGTTATGTCTCCACACCTGCTCCCAAACAGGCTAATCCCAGCTCCTCTGCACAGGTCACACAAACACCACTGCATAATCAAAGCTTCCGCAGAAAACACACAGCTACTTTATAAACACGAGATCGTTTTCCTAATTGTGTTGTTTTTAAACGCCTGAAGCAACAAATGTTTTTCCTCATTCAGATTTTACTAAACAAAAAAACTGCTTTAGTTTAAAATTATAATACTAATTACCTACACATAATTGCCCCGAAAAGCAGGAAGAAAGAATCAATTCTTAATGAACAAATGGTTTAAAAATTATAGCGGTAATATTCATTCATTCATTAATACCCTAACCTCTATCCCTAACTTCTAGCCCAAACCCCTTAATTAAAAATATACTAAGCCTAAATCATTCAACAAGACATTTTATTAAGGATAATTAAGATCAAAAGGTCAAAGTTGTTATGTTATTTTTATTAACTAAAACAATCAAATATATTTTCTAAAAAGTAAAGGCAGTGTGCTTTGAGGCTCAGACCAGGACAGATTAACCTTCATTTGGAAGGCAACAGTTATTTACTTAATTAAGTTACTTAATTTGTTAATTTTGCATTTAGAATGTTACTGCAGCTTCATTTAGGAACAACAAAGCCGACCAACATTTTGAATATAAAGTACTTCGGAGCTGACTTTTTAACTTTATAAGCCAATCAAGGCCTAATATGATTACATGCTCATTAGAGACTGGTACATTCTTATCTAACAGTGCAAGGAGTCATTCTCCAGCGCAGTACAGGACATCACTGCTATACACGACTTTTTCCTACACAAAACATAAAACGGTGTGATTCTGTCCAGTGCTCAGACCACAAACCGACAAAATACACAAAAGCATAACACAAAACAATACAACTAGACAAACCTGATGCAAGGTGCAGTGGTTTCATTACAGCCAATTGTGCTGTGCCCGTGCCCTGAAGGGCGAGTTTCAACAATAAACAACAATAAAAGGTAACATGGTGAATGTTTTAGTAATTAATATGCCATAGATGTGTAATAGCCTCTCTTGAGGTAAATTAACAAGCTATAAAACATTTCAGTGTGAAACATTTCAGTCAATAGTAGGGTGGCCCATCATATTCACATCTGTTGTGATAATTAAACAGAAACAGAAACATGTACATATTCATATTGTCTATAAAGCTCTTTTTCTGTTTTAGAGTGGTAATTAGAAACATTTTAGAAAGTGCTATCTAAGCTTGCACTGTAAATAATCAAAGATCACAAATCCTATTTAAAAGGTCAACCACCAATTCATGGACTAACCTGTTACATACAAGTTGTTTTGTTCAGCCACAGACAAAACATCATTTCAGTTGTCTAAGATGTTTCAAATAAATGAATAAAATGCTCTTTTATTAAAATGTATTATCATTTGTGCTATTATAAGTGACGATAATAAAGCAGAGTTTAACATCTGAATTTTATTGTGTACATTATATTACTTTATTGGTATATGATAATTTAGAATATGTGTGTTGTTCATAAAAGAACCTACACCTCAGATGGCACCCAATATAAGGGGCAGGCTCTTTTCCTTAAAAGTGAGCTAAAAGTAGGCCCGCTCAGGCTTTACCTGGATAAGCTCCATCAAATCCTTTCAGATTGATCTTTGACACTGTCTGCCCGTGAGATGAGGACAAGACGCCAGGGCACAGGACAGGACACGGGGGGGCGGGGCCAGGCCAAGCTGTTATACAGAAGTTGGGTGAGCATTTCTGATGACCATGTGACTGGAAAACAAGAGGAACAAGGATTAGGGCAGAGGGTATAAAAGCCTGAAGCTGAGGACATCACAGATCCAACAGAGAAGGTACACGAGACTCTCACGCAGCAGTGACCGGCGGAAGCCCTTTGGGATATCTGTGAGAACAGGTGAGCGCCTGTAGGTCATAGCATCTAGATGGATAGATTTATTGTTACTGTAGATAGACATATTTATTACTCTTACTTTACAATTATATACTAGCCAACTAAATTATAGCATTAATGCAATCAAAAGATTATGAGTATTACAAAAGATCAACATCAATTCTCTAAAGCGGGCTTATTCAGAATTATTCCAAATTAACCATCTTAAGCCTACTTCTAGTTTTATTTAATTACAGTTTAATATGTGTATACCCATAGACATGAATTGAAGTTATGCATTTTCATTTAAATCACAAATACAAATTTACAAATCACAGGTTGTGGCAGTTTTTTACTCCTTTGCTTCTACAGATTTTTTCAAATTCCAACTCAAAAGGACAAACTACAAATATGAAGCTTATGATTTTAAACAGGATTTTGCCCTATGTTTTTTAGATTGAATTTCTTCTGAGAACATTTTAAACAAACACAGGTAGAAAGTGCCTATTAAGTGGAGTGTGGGGCAGGCAGGTGTGTGTTCTAATGCGTGCTGTAAAGAGGATTGAGCTGCACTGACAGCAGATGGCTAATAACACGCTGGGCTGACTCCATAGATCGCTTAATGAGCACAGAGATCACAACGTCTCTGCAGCACTTCTCATGTCAGAAGAGGCTTCTGATGTGCATACGTGACTCTTACATAACAGATAGATATGATATATAGGCCGCTGACAGGATTAGAGGGCAGCTTGTCGTTTAGGGTCACGGATAAGAAGATCATGTGTCAAAGGTGATGTTTGCTTTTCTACAAATAAAAGGTCAAACATCACAGAAGTTGTCCATGAAGCTAAAAACATAAGTGTCTTGTGCACATGTCCAGCCCGTGGTCCAGCATAATAAACCTGCTGTGGATCTGAGTGGGATTAAGTATGCTCATGTTAATCTCCACAGTCCCCACTGAGTAGATTGAGAGCTGCGAGAAAACAGGATTAGCAAAGGGCACAGCAGTGATGGGCAGAACAGCCTCAAGAGGTAAAAGTGTACAGAATGACAGGCTAATGTGGCTCTGCTCATTTTGCTTTTAGAGACTCTCAACAGAAATGAACGCTGCGCCCCCAGCAGGAAGTGCTCTGGCAGCTAGTGGGACCGCTGGGCCCACCACGCCAAAGAAGGGCCCACCCAAGTTCAAGCAGAGGCAGACCCGAACATTCAAGAGCAAGGCGCCCAAGCCCGGACAGAAGGGGTAAGAACACAGCACTCTAGTCTTTCACTCATGCACCACTACAGACCAGCCTGTGTCTGACCTCTGACCTCTGTGCTTTTGCTTCCAGCTTTGGGGACGACATCCCGGGCATGGAGGGTCTGGGCACAGACATCACTGTGGTCTGCCCATGGGAGGCCTTTGGCGACATGGAACTCAGCGACCTGGCCAAATACGGCATCATCTAAACCTGCTGCCTCCTGCCTTCCTCGCCTCACACCTGTCCTCTGCGTGACCCTGCCCAGCCTTCACCCATCAGCCACACGCCAGATAAGGCTGTGGGCTTCCCCTAATGCCCTCTCGTCCATCTACCTCTACTGCCCTCCACTAAGTGGAGAGGACTGATAATAATGTTTTTATTTTTTTATTATTATTATATATGTAATATGTAATGCTGCTTTATAAATGATGACGAGAATAACTCCCTTTTCCCTTTTCCTTTGACTATCCAAGTATACTAGTCCTTTCCACTTTCCTCTCACCCCACAACCCCCACACCCCACCCCCTCACACACACCCCCTCTAAACCCACGGCAATGGACGCAAGCAAACCACTAGCCTGTATTTGCTTCTAGCAGTCTATCCACATGTAAATACTGAGAGTAAGACCTTTTGACCTTCTTACCTTTTATACTTCCTCGCTCTTTTTACTACATTGTGTGATGTGCTCGCTCATGGTGTGAATGTGAACATCAGGGATGCTAGGAGAGTGTAACAGCTGGAACACTGCACCAGTCCGAGGAGGAAGCCCCAGTGCCCTGTGTCTCTCCTGGTTCTGCTTCACATACATCCCTGTAGACAGATAAACAGACTAATGTTCAAAGCGCCGTGCAGCACTGTCCAATGCTGTGTTCTCATAGTTGCAGTAAAATGTGTCTATTTTAACTACATGGTCGTGCTTTTGTCTGTTTTTTGCATTCCAAACAAGCTGATGAATGGCAACCAGCAGTATATTGCAGAAAACATGAGGGGCTATGGTCATACACAACATCTTCAACAAATTAATTCTGGTACTGGTACTTATTAATATATTATATCATGACAACAAGGTAGTTTACTTGTGTAACATTTTCAAACACTATTAATCTTTTAAGTTTAGTAGAAAGCAAGATTAAATTGTACAAGAGGGCAAAGGTTTATAAGTAATAGATTTGCTGCACTATATTCCTGGTTAAGCACAGAGAGCCTCAAGCAACCCAGCTGTTGTTATCAGAGTGAAACAGTTTGATGGATTGTTCATTCCTCCAGAGGTGTTTTGGTGCAGCCCTTTGCAACAGAAACCAGAGAATTCAGTCCGGCGAAGCTTTTGGCCAGAAACAATGTTGCAACCCCCGTGTCTGACAGCATCCTTCAGCGCAAACATCCAACAGTATTTCCATTCACCTCTCCTGACGACTCCCAAAGCTCTCCAAACAGGGACCACTATCTCCCTTTATGCTCCAACTGGCTTCTTTTCAATAGAACAATGTGGAAGTGCCTGGGGGATATTGGAAACATTACGTCAGGTGTCACGAATTCCTCAGTATTATCTGACAGTCTGGGAGAAACCGGGCCTCCCAAAGCACTCCGGCATCGACATTTTTGTGGTTCAGACTTAGATATGAGCATGTACAACTATAAATCCCTATGATAAGTCAATATACAAGTTAAAGTTCAAGACAGGGTTCAACGGCTAACACGCCTAATAAAATTTTTGCAAGTGCAGACACGAAGCGGGCAGACTGTGTATAGGCTTGCACCAGACAATAGAGAAAAAGGTTTTTGACGCAATCCTCCCTAAGGCTCTGACACTGCTAGGGAGAGTAACTGGTGACTATAGTAACAGCTCTAACATTTTGATGAGTCAACTTGGATCACCAAAGTGTCTTGAGCAAGCAGCCGCAGATGTCACGTTTTATCTGCTACGATTTGGATATCAGGGAGGTGATTGTCTCTGTGTGTCTCCGCGTGTTTGTGTGCGTCTAGTCTACCAGCGCATATTTTAGAGTATCTTTTTCTCCAGGTGTAAGGGCCCCACCTATATTTGGAGGGAGGAAGAGGAGGAGTAAAATCAACTACCACAGTCTGAGCTCTTACCAAACCTGTCTATGGAAATGTGGGCGAGGTGAAGGCAGTCAGTGTGGAATTAAGATATCTTGTTTCTTAGCAATTCCTTCATCGGATTCTCTTCCTGGTACCTGCCATAAAACACAAAATGGGTACATGGTCGGAATAAGAGAAGAAACAGAGGTTATCGCAAGTTGAGCATTACACTTTGGGATTACCTGAGAACAATCTGGAAACAATTTAAACTACTAAGGATTAAAGGTAAGTTTTGCTACAACAACAAAATAGCAACCTGATTTAGGGCTTCATCTTTTCTCTAATATGTATGGTTTGAACATTGTCATAAAAATTCATATAATGTCTTGATTTTTAACCATGCAGACTTGTAGGTGTGTTAAATGAGGCAGAATTGTGGATTTCATGAACACAATGGCAGTAACCACTATTGTATAAAATGTATTCTTCTCTTGAATAGCTGTGGAAAATATCATCTTTAAAACATTTCAGATAATAGAAATATTTGCATAATTTGCCACTTCTTATAGCACAAAGAGCAACAATGAAGTGAGTGCACCCTCTTGAGTTAAAGGCCATTAAAGGTCAGCTGAAAATCACAGCCTAACACAAAGTGCTGTGAGCTGAATGAAGCAGCAGTCTGTTATCTCCTGCCATAACCATCGCCTGTATGACAATGCAAATAACAGGGCACAGTTAAACCTGAAGATGCACAAATGAATGTCATGTAGCTATGGAGGTATTAGTCAAACTCCCTTTTAAATTAAATTTCAACTTTCTGCCAAGTGAACGTATAATCACATAAAATCACAATTAAAATAAAATAATTATAGATATAATAATAGTTGATATAACAGATAATACAAAAAAATATTTATAATAATAATAAGTAACTTGTAAGGGTGTAACGATATCAAAGTCTCACAATACGATATCGTCATGGTATGAACCTAAGGGTACAATATTTATTGTGATATTTTCATCAGTATGCTACTTTTTCCTCTTAAAATGCCTTGACAAGACTTAATCCAAAGAAAAAGACTTAAAAGTGTTTAGAACTGTTATTTCTTCATGTAGTCTGCACTGAAACGGAGCAAAGGATCATGGTCTATGTAGTTCCCTCTGTCTTTTTTTTTTTTAGCTATTGCTGCACAATAACTCTTAATTTATGCAAAGAGACTTGTAATTCGATGTATTGTGATGGTCCATGATAACCTTGTGAGAACTTTGACGATACAATATCACAATATTTTGGTTATTGTTACATCCCTAGTACCTTGATGTGGGTGTGGGAATCTGTGACATAAAACATGCTTGAATGTGAGCAGCACTAATTGCTATTACATGTGAACGCTGCTCCGTACCACAGACATTACACACGTGTGGTTAGCTGATGGTCACTTGAAAACATGTTGTTGTTGTTAAGGGTTATTTCTAATTTATGTATTGTAAATTAAACTGAGAACTAAGTTTACATTGCACATATCATATGTTGTAATTTTATATAGGCAGCCTAAAAAGGGTCTGTGTAATATCAGTAGGGCCCTCAGGATATAGAGCAGCAGCCCATGTGAATCCTCTGTGAAAATCTGTTACATTTTTCACAGAGGTTTCACATGGGCTGCTGCTCTATATCAATATGCTTGATTAAAATATTCTCTTTGGAGGGCGGAATGTTTGATTACCTTTGTGTTTTTCTTTTTAAAATTAAAGCACGTGTAGATGAGTGTAAGGGCACTATAATCCACCTTTGTTTACATGGGGAGTAGTCAGCCAATCAAAACCCAAAGAAGTTAACACACACCAGTGTCATACAATAGGAGCTGCTGCAAGTTTATTTTAAAGCCAGATCATAACCGGATTTGACTATTACTCAGAGGACCATGAACAGTAGTGTTTACTGAGCACCCGCGCTATTCTATACACACCTACTGTACATGCAGTGGCAGGAGGCTGTCCAAATCCTTTCAATCAACATTTGCCTCCTCTCCCTGTGCTCCTGTGTTGTTCTGACATGTTTATCCTCTCTCTTCTTTAGCTGTCAAGGATCTTTTAGTTTTGTCTCCAGGCTGTGACCCAGCGCTTTCACCTTTGATATCTGCCTGTTTGTTTTTCCGCCCTCTTCAATGCTGTGTTTTTGAAGCACAAGTTCATTTAGTGATTGTAAATGACACATGATGCAGATGAAGCTCTCAAAGTAGTCAAGGCTGTGTTCAAGTAGTTACACAAATATGGCAATCCACACTGGACACTTGTGACATATCAGTGATCATAATACCTAGTTTAATGAGTCATATTAGGCTAAAGGTGCTATTATTACCTTTATGAGACACTTAGTATAGATCATTCAAAATGCAATGGTTACATTTTGATGATTAAAAACATACCAGGAATTGAGTTTTCTTTCATTCACACATGTTTAACACAGAAATCCTGCATATCTAATGTAATAATAATGCAGGATTACTCAAAAATGTGCGAATGAAACAAAACACAGCTCCAGGTAAGTTTCTGATGAGGTAAACTTTATAACATGGATTAAAGCTCACATGAATCCATTTTGTGTAATATATGAACTTTAATTGATGTTTTCAGGAAAGGTTAGTAATTGACCTAATAGATAATCTGTTTTGTGTAGCACTATGTAGATCGTTACTTGAAAGATCATTCATTTGTCAAATTCCCTATTGAAACAAAACGCCAATGTCTACAACTCTCCAACTGTGCCACTTCTGAAATCAATAATAACCAGTCATTTACATCTAATTTCATTCATTGACTGTCTGTCGCCCTCCTTTCAAAATGAATAAATCGAAGTCAATTTGTTGTGCAACTGTATTGATTAAATGACTCGTGCAGATCGATACCGCAGATGTACTCATGCATTTTTCTTTTTGTTGTAGGGAGTAATCAAGAAAACTAAAGATGGCGCCCCGATTCGTCTTCCAACTCCTCTTTCTTGTCGCCCAAATGCCCCTAATGTGCCAATCTCAATCCAACAGCACTTCCACAAACTCTGCGAAAAATAAGACTGTTAAGATCCGGGGTTGCGGGGATGATCTGGACCCTGTGTACCGATACTTGTGTGACCGGCGAGCTGCGTGGGGCATCGTTTTGGAGACACTGGCGACCTCGGGCTTCCTGCTCTCCATTGGTCTCCTGATTGGCCTGCTCATTTGGGCTTTATGTGTGTGCATCAAGAGGCCAAGTAGCAACATTGGAGGGTCTGTGGTCTGTATGTCCATGTTTCTGCTGGCTACGGCGGGAATATTCGGAATCACCTTTGCATTCATCATCCAGCTGACACCGCAGACCTGCCCCACGCGCCTCTTTCTGTTCGGGGTGCTGTTTTCGGTGGCGTTCTCCTGTCTCCTCGCCCGCTGCTTGGCTCTGTTGGGATTCGCGGCGGCTAGAGGCTGGGGTGAGACCGGTGTAGCGCTGGGCCTGGTCACGGTCCAGATTATCATTGCGACGCAGTGGTTGATCATAGTCCTGGTGCGGGATGGAAGGCCATGCGAGTACAGCCAAGAAGAGTTTGTGATGCTGCTGATTTATGTTCTGTGTTTGTTGGCCATCAGTCTAATCATGTCTGTCAACCTCGCGTGCAAATCTTGCATCACTTACAGCTACAGCTACTCAGGACCCTCAAACCAGCATGGAAATCTCCAGGCAATGTTGCTAGCATTCACACTAATACTGTCTGGCTCGATATGGGTGGTGTGGATTGTCATGCTTAACAGAGGGAATGTTGAGATTGAAAAGCGACCTGTTTGGGATGACCCAGTCCTGAGCATCGCCCTGGTGGCAAATGGGTGGGTGTTCCTTATGGGACACGGGCTGTCCCAGGTTGCCTTCCTGTGCAAAGGGGAGGCCAGAGCCAAAGACGTGCCTCTGAGCTTCGCAGGCTGGACCAGTCCTATTGCAGACACACCGGGACTCAACAGCCCCAAGGAGGGTAAGGAGAACGGGAGCTTTGAGACTGAGGGCGACAGAAGAGGTGAGAGTGCAAACGAGGGATCTGAGAATTATTTTTAACCAATATGTGTAAAAAAAAAATTAAAAATAATATAATTCTTTTGCATGATTGGACCATTAAGATTACAAGGGACTAAATTAAGAGACGCCCTGGACAAGACAATACAAAAATACAATTGCTCAAATTACTGAAATCACACACAAAACACACTCCAGAGTAGCAGCCCAAGCATTTCAGTTGTTTCATCTGATTTACCTTAAATTCTTATGAATATAATAAAAATTCAAGTCATGATTAGAACTTACATTTAACAAATAGTCAAGACACACTCTTATTTAAAGGTCATATTGTACAAAATTGACTCTTTGTTATTGTTTCCTCCTCAAAAATATACCCAGAGTTGTGTTTTGTTTCATTCACACATGTTTGAGTAACCCCTTATTATTAGTCTGCCTCCTTCTCCAAAGCTCAAAATGCTCAAATGCTCCAGCTTGTGATGTCATGAAGTGGCAGTTTTCAAGTGAACAGCTCCTTTTACATTTTGGCCAGACGAGATTGGCAATTCTAGGGCTGAAATCATCACCATCAAAATAAAAAAGGGTTTGCGTGTTAAACTTGGTGAATGAAACAAAACATAACTTTGGGTGTGTTTTTGATGAGGAAACAGATTATAACATAGATCAGAAAATAATATAAGTAATATGGGACCATTAAACTATCAGTTGTTAAACTCCTCCTATTCAGGCCTAACGCAAAAAAAACAAACTTGTCTAAAACGCCACAGTCCATTGTGTTGCTCTGCCTCTCAGTAAAATATCTATAGGCTGACTGCAGTATAACGAATACTGGTACAGGCCTTGTTTCTGATTGGTAGTTGGTAACTGGTTAATTTGTTTCTGGACATATAACTGGCATTACTTATCGACTCAGCTGGGTTCCCATGTGTCAGGGAGGAGATCTGCATTTTTACACAACAACAAGCCCAAACTCCACACCGCACCCATAAACAGTCCGTTTCTTTAAGAGAACACTGCCTCTCCCTGATCACTCTGTACTGGTTTAACCTCTTCTGGTGCCGCCATCCATGTGCAAGTGCTTTTGACAAGAAACATGGTAATAGTGTAATCGCGTCATATGTTTTTACTTGTCTGTAGGTGAACTGAGGTCCTCATTAGAAACCATGTGAACCAAGCTTAAGCCCAACTACTATAACACCAGCGTTTGTCGTAAATACCTCAAAGCTGATGTCTTGCTGTTTGTCGACGAAAAGTATTTAGAGCAAATAAAAACGGCAAGGGAGATAAATTAGTACAACAACATGTAAATCTGCTCTGATTTAAGGCTACAACTGCATTTGGTTAAAAAGTATTACCTCAGTGTTGCACGAGGTAACCTTAAATGCATTCGTGTGTGGGCAGGCAGGCTCTATGTTGTACAAGATGAACGATAATCCATGGGAGACGCCTAGGGGGATAGTGAGGCTGAAATTCCAGTTTAGTTGGAGAGGTTTGATCAGTCTGTATCCACAAGTGAATTGAAATCGCTGTATGTTCTGTAAGTGATGGAGTGCTACTGTAATCGTTCTTTAAGTGTGGCCTTTATGATGAAGGGTCTGTAACAGTGATAATGAGCTAACCGTAGCGCCCCGTGTCCCCTCAGGCAGGAGGACAGAGCCTGTGCTACGCTCTCCCTATGAGTCTGAGTTCTCCATGACAGTGAGTAAAGTATCATCATTAATACTCTGTCTGTAGTAATTAAGCACTGACCTTTTAGCACAGGAGGCGATTAGGCTGTAATGTAAGGCAGATTGCAAGTCTATAGTTTTTTATGGACATTAACCACGCTGACAGGTGATGGTAGATATCTTTGTGTTCCAGGAAATTGACACGGAGAAAGACTACACTATTCCTCGGCCACAGACGACGAATTTCGAGGAACCCTACGATGAATATTAAGGACAGTACCAGAGTTTTACAATAATGTACTTTGGGAGAGTAGTGATCAGCAGTGAAGAAATTGGGTTTTTATGGCGTCAAAACAAACAAAAGGATGTCACAAGATAAAATGTTTGTGTTTGTTACGATTGTTAAGAGGAGATATAAAATAGTATATACCAGTATTCGCAATTACTGACACATAACAAACAGTAAAAAGTAAAATTGTTTAGCCGAATTAGGTCTATTTTAAGTCTCATTGCCCAATAGATGACCTTTCCTCTAGTAGCCCATGTGACCAGCTTAATAAAAATCAAGCTTAAAAATTTACGTGACATGAAATGCACTTTACATTTTGGTTTAGCATAGACTGAATATAAACGTCCAGAATTTGATGATAAAAACCTCACGATGATTTCATTTTTATTATATTTGCCTACCCATTATACTTAGTTACTTAATAAGCCATGACTGTTACCAAGCTGTGGCAAACTACTGACGTTAGGCAATGATCCAGTTGAATCACAAAGAAAATCCCTATGAGGAAACACCCATCGCTGTGACAATCCCTTAACAAAGACACGAGCAGCACACAGCATACATACTAAAGGATATACTACACCTTTGGGGCTGTTCAAGGGGCAGAAAAGATGAAAAAGCCCAAACATAATGTAATATCTTAAGCCCAGAGGCGGCAAAGAATCCCCAACAAACTTCCCATGTGTACGAACAAAGAAGTACTTTATGTGATCTTTTGTTTCCCAGTTTGTTGTAAATGCTAAACATTTCAGCAAAATGTAATTATATATTTGATTCTCCGCAACTAACATCAGTAAAAACTAATAAACTTAAATGATTATGTAACTAGTAAAAGGAGATATTAGAGCCTATAGTTATGTAACCATTTAAAGGTGCACTGTGTAACTTTTGTGGTGAAGGGTACATCACCTGTTGTGTCATTGTAAGTAGGGATGTAACAATAACCGAAATTTGGTGATATCGTATCGTCAAAGTTCTCACAATATATCGTGGACACTCACAGTTTTTCGAATTACAAGTCTCTCTGCTTAAATTTAGAGTTATGGTGCAGCAGTAGCTCAAAAAAGACAGAGGGAACTACATAGACCATGATCCTTCGCTCCATTTCAGTGCAGACTACATGAAGAAATAACAGTTCTAACCACTTTTAAGTCTTAGTTCTTTGGATTAAGGCATTTTAAGAGGAAAAATATCGCCTCCACAAAATATCACAATAAACATCGTACCGTGAGATGTATATCGTGAAAATATCATACCGAGAGATTTGGATATTGTTACATCCCTAATCGTGAGCCTCCCCACCATATCGTGAGCTTACCCATGATATCGCAATAAATATTGTACCATGAGGTTCATACCGTGAAAATATCATATCGTGAGACTTGGATATCCTTACATCCCTAATTGTCAGTGTTATTGCTTTGCCTGGAATATTCCACAGTGTGTCAGTAAAGTGCCTGTCTTACATTTATTTAATACATACTGTATGTTTTAATCACTAATATATTGAAAAAACCTGCTTTCTTACTGTGAGCGGGGCCACCTCTCTGCAGATCTGATCTCTAACTTCACTTGGTGGCGTCTCCTGCTTGTCTCCATGGAGTTTAATGCCATACTGTGGAACATTTAAAGCAAAGCAAAAAACATCTTCATTAAGAAAAGCAGGTGGGGTACAGTCCACTAGAAAAGTGACACAAAATGTTATATAAATACAATGGTTTGAGTTTGCAACCTTGCCTCAAAAGTTAATCCCAGTTGATCCCATCTCATCTCCTCAAAGTCTTCTCTTGGTTTTAAAATCAAAGAAAGATATTTTCAAAGACACTACTGACTCATGCACTCTTTATAAAGGTTGCCGGCACCGACATGTGTTTTGCTATTTCTTTTCCCTTGCAGTGTAAATATTTGTGCCTTTTTATGTGCAATGTTATTTGTAATCTGCCAGCAAGATGTCTGCCTAAAGAAGAATGAAAAGGCAGAGTGACTCACGCCTGAGTTTCATCAGTGGATGTGCTTGGATCTTCCCTGGGGCTGGATTCCACATCAGCATGGCTCCAAGGGAAGAGTGCAGTTTGAGCTGGTGTATAATAGGCCCAAGGTGATGAGGAGGGCGTGAAGCTGTCACTCTGGAGGTGCCAAACTGCGGCGCTCACGAGAGGCGTCTGAGAGCGCAGTAAGAGAGGAGAGGAGATAAGAGGCAGGAGAAGCACACGGGGACATGTCAACTCAGTGGGAGGCTACTGCTGTCCTCACTGGTTTAAGTCTTTGTGTTTAAACTCACTATTCAGAGGCAGGTCCTACACAATTCAACCTAATGAGTCTTTCCAGTGCTGTGTGAAGAATGTATGTTACAATCCTGTAAATGTGTAAAGTTTAATTAATTAAATGTTATTAATTATCTTTGTCATTACTGCTTATTTGATGTAATAAATAAACTCTTGTTAATGAAATTAAGGTATCAAAAGCATTATTTATAAAAAGAAACTCTACATACCTAGACAGTGAATTTTAAGTGAGATATAATTGAAATAGTTAAACACACATTGTATTTCATATGATAGAATAAAATGATGTCATAATTAGGGGTGTATCAATAACCAAAATATCATGATATCATATCGTGGACCATCACAATATATCGAACCACAAGTTTCTTTGCTTAAATTCATTGTTATGATGCAGCAACATCTAAAAAAAGAGGGAACTACATCAACCATTGCTCCGTTTTGGTGCAAACTACATGAAGAAATAACAGCTCTAAGCATTTTTAAGTCTTATTTCTTTGAATTAAATCTTGTCATGAGGAAAATGTAGCATATTCAAAATTTTGTTAGCCTCCACAGAATATCACAATAAATATCATACCATGAGATGTATATCATGAAAATATCGTACTGCACCGCACCTAATATTATAATTATAGAGAATCTGGGATATATATTTAAAAATAATAATAATAAATAAATAAATCATTATTTTAACAATATGGGATAACTTTTCGGTCACCCAAAATCTGTATTAAATATGAGCTAGAATGTTGCAATATCACCTATCGTTTAATTTGATTTTTTATTTACATTTTTACTTTACTAGGTTTTGGTTTAATATGTTTTTAAACGTGGCAACTACAGTAGATGCTTAAATGTTGCTACTAAACCAACCCCCCACTGTCTGCAGGACGTGTCTGCCTCCACCAGGGGACAGTGTTTAGGCACTAGTGTTATTTTAATAGATCCATGGTGTTAAGCTGTGCGTGAACACTAACACTTTTTAATTACGACAACACTTGTAATTATTGTAACGCCAAAAGCAGCAAATTCCACTTACACACGCTGTAAACGCCGTGGTGCCAGAATCATAGCACGATTAGGCCGAAGTGGGAGTTTTCTCTTCCGCTGATCTTTCCCTCACTGACCTTTTGTGACCCCGTCATCTTCAGGTCAAGTCCTCCCTCCAGCTCGAGTTTGCGTCTCACACGTGCCCCTGCCCACAGAGGCCTATCCAGTCCCCCAATTACGCTGCCTTCAATTACACAGAGCGCATGCCATCAAATTGCCAATTGGCCTCTTGTGCATTCGAGCAATTAGCAAGGATATGAAGCTTCCCGTCACATCCAACCCATTTACGGCCATTAACTCCAGATGCAATTAAAGATTGTTCCAGATATGTTCCCCTCGGCAGCGGGCAGAGGGCACAGCCGGGAGGAGAAGTTCACAGATTAGGTCGAACAACTTTCTCCCGGACGAGCTGCAGCGTGAAAGTTAGCGCCAAAACACTAGAGCATTAGAGGGCACCTTAATTAGGCCCACCCCAACGACGTAACAGGACTACAAAAGCTTGACATTTTCGTGCAAACCTTTGTCTCAACTGGGAAAAAATATGGTTAATAAAACTCGTAACAGTCAATAACGTCTAGGGATATCCAAGTCTCGCGATATGATATGAACTTCACGGTACGATAATTATTGTGATATTTTGTGGAGGCTAACAAAACTGTTAATACGCTACTTTTTTCTCTTAAAATGCCTTGAAAATACTTAATCCAAAGAACTAAGCCTTAAAAGTGCTTAAAACTGTTCTTTCTTCATGTAGTCTGCTCTGAAATGGAGCACAGGATCATGGTCTATGTAGTTCCCTCTGTTTTTTTAGTTTTTTTGTTTTGTTTTTTTTGCAATCGCTGCACCATTACTCTTAATTTAAGCAAAGAGACTTGTAATTCGATATATTGTGATGGTCCACGATATTATTGTGAGAACTTTGACAATACGATGTCACGATATTTTGATTATTGTTACATCCCTAATAAGGTAAATAAAAATAAGCATACATTTTTTATTGACGTGCACTAAACTAAACCAACACCAAGAATATGCTCAGTTTAATTTGACTAGTCCTACAAAAAGCAACACATAAATAAAACCTATAAATTAAAATAAATAAAATACACAATTGCCTGTATTAGTGGATACTGATTAAACAAGACAAGAACTTAACTAAACTTCAACACCAAATCCAAGAATATGCTCAGTTTAATTTTACTAGTCCTACAAAAAGCAATATATAAATAAAACCAATACATTAAACTAAACTACACAATTGCCTATAATATTGGATACTGATTAAACAAGACAAGACATACCCTTAAATAACTTCAATACCAAATCCAAGAATATGCTGTTTAATTTGACTAGTCCTATAAAAAGTAACACATATATAAAACCTATAAATTAAAATAAATAAAATGCACAATTACCTATATTGTTGGATACTGATTAAACAAGACAAGACATGCCCTAAACTAAACTTCAACACCAAATCCAAGAATATGCTCAATTAAATTTTACTAGTCCTAAAAAAAGCAATATATATATATAAAACCAATAAATAAAAAATAAACCACACAATTGCCCATAATACTGGATACTGATTAAACAATCTGGAGATACAAGTATCTATAAAAATCTCTCCCGGATGGTGATGATGGAGCGGCGGTGGATGCAGAGATTGAGTTACATCGTTTCTCTGAGCTCTTATTCTGTTGGAAACTGCTCCTTTATCTCTGCAGTGGAGTGGTCCCAGCTATTTCAGGCATTCTCTATCCTGATTGGACAACCCGACCCGGCCAAACGCTGGAAAAAACGATAAGACTGAGACAATCATGGGAAGGAAATAACATAATGGTTACTAGCCTGAAAATCCTGGTCTCTATCAGCTGTAGATAAGCAGCATATGCGTGGGCTCGACCAGTCAATGGAGGTAATAAGAACTCGGAGTACAAACCGTGTAAAAACCAAACAGTTTATTTAGTATATACATTCAATAATAATGAAAGGGAATAAACTGAAGGCAGACACAAGAATGGCAAAGTAAAACATTGTGAAAATACATCACTTATCGAAAACAAAAATATATCATCACTTGGGTATGGTCTTTTTGGAGCATGTGACATGAAAAAACGCACACATGCAATTCAAAACCACTTAGTAAATCCCTATACAAAAACTCCCATTGGGTTGACTTGAGCACAGTGCAGGGAGCCAAGGGTCAGCGGCTAAGAGTCAGGACGGGCTGGCAGCTGAGGGGGACTTCCATACACCTGTTTAAGCCTACGCTCGCAACCCCCCGGGATAATTAAGCTTTACAATTAGACTGCCTATAGGACGTTATGTGTTTGAGTGGGCCTACTTCATTTGGCTTTCATTACAAAACAGTGGGTCAGCAGTGCTACCAAATTAAATATCTTATGAGTGGTGATTACTGCCAGGGCACAGAGGGATCATAACTCGGGTTATTGGAGTAAATCTGCTGCCACTGTACTTTCTACTACTACCAAAATGTCCGGTGTAGTGAAGTCCTCCCCTGCTGCCTTGTCAACTCCCCCAATAGTCCTCCAGCATTACGAAATTCATGCACAAGTGAAACCCTTTCCTCTCACAAAAGCATGCATAGCAACACTTCTGATAATACTTTTAAGGAATAATAAAGACCAAAAAAAGAGGTATACGTGTCAAAAAATACTCATTGGACCTACTGCACACTGTTTAGTTTTTTTTTTCACGATCGCACAATAACATCACTCCCCCTGACTCTGTCCGTGCCCCGACACAAAAAGACAGTGGGGAACGTGGCTGTCCTGTCAGAGAATGATTAATGGCTCAGCTTGTCACCTTCACTGTGGTAGTCCCTGCACCGCACACACACACTTGGGTGCATTGTTGCAAAAGGTGACCACTGCAGAGCCCCCCCCCCCCTCCCGCACGCCCTCTCGACATTGACTGGACATTTTCCTCCCGTTTACCTCGGGGCGAACGTGAATGAATAAATATCCGCTACCGTTTGGGTCCCTCATGGCTCGGATTTTCCCTTTCTCTGCACCACATTGGCTTTCACACAAAAAAGCCAATTATTAAAATGAGTGGACCAATTTGTTTGCGGGTCAGAATTGCTAAATTACTGTAACCTTTTGAACATGTCCTTTTTTTCGATGACATTTCCCCGGCTGCTTCACCCAACTAAGGCAGAAAACATTAAAAAAAGTGAAGGCAAAAGTAATGAGAAATATGAGATACATAATTATTACCAAAAATGTGCTTTTTTTCAGAAAATCTTTGGAACCAAAAAGACAAAATGTAAAACAGTATAAAGGAGAGTAGTATACAGAAATGTGTTACATGACATAGACAGTCCTTTTTCTGCAGCTGGATAAAACCATTTGCAAATTTAGAAAGCATGATGATAAACTTATAACAGAATGTGCTGTCCTGTGACAAGACTATTTTAAAATTAATTACTGAAGCAAGACACATTTGCCACACAGATTCTGTAAGCCTCATTAGACTTGATCATTTTGATTGGCCATTTCGAGTGCAGGCTGCTCTATTGGGATTTTCGGTTATATGGAGTGCACATCTGATGAACGCTACTATGCCCAAAGCCCGCAGGCAGAAATATCTCAATACATCTCAATTGGCTGGGACATATTTCCATTTGGCTGACTGGCAGATGATTAGCTCCCCTTGTGGGTGTTCTTACTTTCAAATCTCCGTCATTCGGCTGGGTCGTCCATGTGACCCGCTCATTACTACAAGGCTGCTAACTGGAATGTCTGGCTGTGTCCTAAGCGGAGAGTTGAATCCTTTTAAGGAAAAGGCTGATCTGTGGAGATACCAACTGCTTGGACAGGCTTTAGGTTGCCTCCAAATGGAAAAAGGTTGCATCAGCGCTGAGAGGGCTAGCTTATGTTGCACTGGGAGACCTCTGTGAAGTGAGCAAGGACAACATGAATCTACGCACCTTTTTCATGGCAAAAAAGTGAAGTAACGCAGAAACACCAGTCACTTTTTCCTCATCAGTTTGGAATTATTTTGTACAAATTTTTTTGGGGGGAAAGACTACTTCTCATGCGTTAATTAGTGTTGACAACAGTGGTTTTCTTCAAGATGAGTTCATAACAGAAAGTCCAGCATTATCTGTTCTGTCCATTTCTTATTCACCTTAATTCAACTTCAATCTGAGGGATGTAGTGTCAAAACGATAAGTACCTTCGTAAAGTGGGCCGTGGCAGTTCCTTTCATTTTCGCACTAGCCGACACTTTGAAATGTAGTGGAAACCGTTTACTGGGAGTTGAGCTGTACAATAGGGCAGTGGATATAGTGTTTTGTAATAGGTTGTAGTGTGCAGATTCAAGTCTCTCGCTGTCCTGTAGTCCTGCTGCTGCTAAAAAAGAAAATCCATGATAGTAGTGCCCCAGGTCCGACGAAACTAAGCTCTGGCTATTTTCACGTGGCAGTTTTTCCATTGTTTCCGTGTTGACGTTGAGACATAAAAAGCACAGGGACAGGCGAGTTGACGATGTGGCAGTGACCTCTCTGCCACATAAAAACAAGGCAAAAAAATGGAGGAAAAAACCACGACACGAGTTGCCACTAGAGTCCGTCGGCGGGGTAATGGAAGGGAGTTCTCGCCAAAGGAAAGAGCCGGAAAACGGGTTTGTGTTTTGGAGCCGTGGGAAATTCCTCTGAAATTTTGTGGTTTAGTACGGAGCGAATCTACTGTAGCCCGCCCGATATAAACTGGCCTGGAAGAAACAGAGCAGAGAAGATAATGAGTAGGGTTGCATCATTTTATACAAAATACAACATGTGGAAAAAAGGGGCCTACAGTTTCTAAATGGTCACATTTTAAAACATGAAAAAAAATTATAACTACAATATTTTTTCAGCCTGATTCATCAGTCGGTTTCACTTCGTAAAAACTAGGGGTGTGCAAAAATATCAGAATATCGATATATATCGTATCGTTTAATGTGCTGATACAGTATCGATATTGCGGGCTGCTGTATCAATATATCGTCAAGAGTATTTTAGGTATATTTTCACTAAATTAGTTTGTGGAAGAGCTACAGTTGTGTTGACATTTTCACTGTTGTGAGTAAAATGGATGTTTTTCACATTCACTTTTCACAAACTTAGTGGACTTTTAGTATTAGAGCCATCATTTAGCCTTTTTTACACTGTACTGTATCGAATCGATGTGAAATATATTGTATCGAATCGTAATGAATCGAAAGCTCACTGTATAGAAAAGCGTATCGTATCGTGGCCTATGTATCGGGATATGTATTGTATCGGTAACTTCTTAACGATATTCAGCCCTAAAGAAACCGTCCTGGTCAGAGAAACCGTCTGAGAACCGTCATTAGAATTTGTTACGCTTTTTCCAAATCCCGTAGAAAGAAGGGTAATAACATCTTTATCAAAATTCACCAAACATTCTCTTTGTTCTGGCTTTAAATCCTCAATCTCGGGAATTGAATCGTTGCGAACACAGAATATATGGCTCTTCGCTGATTGGCTGATGCCCAAACTCACACTTCCGGGGTTTTTGCGAACCGTCTAGTGTATTCTGATTCATGACATAGTTGCTGGAGAGAAATGAAATTGAGCGGAGGCACTAGGTGGCGCCAGCCTGGCTAATATTTTTTGCCACTCAAAGCAAAGTCTGAATGAGGTTAATACAAAAACAGGTCTTTTCACGTATACAAACTATCAAGAATGCATTAGCATTGTAAAGTGTAATCCGGACATTGTAATGTTGTGACTACAATTAATTTCTAGGGTTGTAACGATATTCAAATCTCACGGTACGATATTATCACGATACGAATCTCACAGCACAATATTTACTGTGATATTTTAAAGAGGCTAATATAATTGTTATAATTGTTTGATTTAAAATTTTTATTTACGTATTTTGGTGTGAATTATGACTATGAGAATTCAAGTAAAAAACATATTTCTTCATGTTGTCTGCACTCTGCACTTAAATGAATCATGGGATATGCACTTCAGTATGTTTATGAGCTGTTGCTACTATAAAACCATGCATTTAAGCAAAGGAACTTGGACAGCCCATGATATTATTGTGAGACTTTTGATGATACGATATCACAACATTCTGGTTATTGTTACATCCCTATTAATTGTTTTATTAAATACATGCAGGAATTCTCATTACACTTCACTACAGATATTAAAATATACCCAATTACTGATTTTAAATGTAAAAGGACAAAGTAGAAACAATGCTAGTCATTTTCTGATGATGATACTGTCGCCCAAATCATGAGTAAACAATTATATGATTTCACAATACACTGTGATAAAAATGAAGCGCTTTATTTTTTCTATTTTTCATGTCTGGGCAAGTTGCAATGGAGCATCTGCCCATAAATCTCACTAACACAAACATAGCCAAATGACTGCTATGATCCTCTGTACACCCCGAATTACCACAAGTGTAATCTAATGCAGTCTGGCTCGGCCTGCTCTTGTTAAAAATACTAGTAATTTATGCCCCCTGTCAGTTGTTTCACAGCTCATTTTCTCACCATGGCTCCCACTCCGTACGCAGCAGCAGCTGGGGCTAAAGCGTGGTAGGGGTCTGTAGTGTACACTCTGCCATAACTGGAAACATAACAAAACAGCCCTTAGTGAAAACAACAGACAATTAACATCTCACTCGAGTCCTGCTGATTTATCCATTAGCACAATTCTGGTAATAACAAAATGCACATCCACTTGTCTTCTTTAATTAATTGAAGAAGTTATGAAAACAAAATAAAGACAGTCCTTCTCCAGATTCGTATAAAAAAAGTGAACTCATAATCTGATCCTGCAGAAACACTCTGTTGTGCGGACAGGTGAGACAGAAAGATGATGATTAAACCTGATTATTACCCAGCTGTGCCAAGGACTGGTCACAAGATGGGGCCACTCTGAAATGGGCACTTGCAAAATGCCAGGTGGATAGATTATATTAGCAAAAGATTAGGTGTAGAATATATCAGTGAGGGACATCTGCTTCAAATGAAAAACATCAACTTCAATTTATAAATATGAAACAAAGTTGTTTTGAGTTTATAAATTTTAAAACCTTATGCAAATGTTCAGACCTTACAATTATTACATATTTCTGCAGCTGACTTTGAAAATTAACAGTTTGTGCTTACACTGTTGTTTTATTCATATTTTTTTCAAATACGAGTATTAAACCAAATGTTTAGCACTGTTTTTCTCACTTGGAAGTCATCGTGTTTACATGGTGTGTCCCTGGATGACCTCACCTGTCGCTGTAGGCGGCGGCTGCGGCGGTTGCCCCGGTTACAGCAGCTGGTTGGGCGTAGCGATAGGCGGCGGCCGCAGCAGCAGCGGGATAGCCCCCCTGGAGACACACATGAGAGGACTGACTCACACTGGGACAGAGGAATACACTACACAAGTGGAGATGAATGACGAAATGCCATAGACTGACACGACAGGCAAGGCTCAGGCCAAACTGGTGCCATTTCAGTTCAGTTTTCATAAAACATTGACTGCCGCCATTTAACCAAGGGCTGCACAACGTTAGGAACCCACAAAGAAAGTGACTGATGTGGGGAGAGGGAGGGATGAGGGACGGATATAGTCCCACTAATTCATGTAACAACATGATACAAAATGTTAAGAAATTGTTGAGTATTTATTACACACTATAGCAACATTCTAACTTCAGAGCATCCTTACATTTCTCCAATATTTGTTACTTTAAAGACTCCATTTTATGATTGTGTATCTACAATCAATCAATGTATGTGACACTACTAAGCAGCAGCAGCAACAGTTCTTTTAATATTGTGACACTGTAGCTCAGTTGATACAAGCATTTGCCACTGATCTGTAATATTTATTGTTCAAGTACAGCACCATTGCAATAGTCCATGTGTGAGTGTGGTGTTATTATATGTTAACATTGTGCAGCCCTGCTAGCAGTACTATTATGTTATATTACATGCTATCCATGTGCCAGAGTATTGCATTTCGAAAAGAGGGGAAAGGAGAGCATTCTGTGGAACAATAGCATTTTATCAATGAGACAGAAGAAGGAAATTGCACTGTCAAAGTGGAGTTAGACTGGATTATTACCACTACAAGAGAGAGAGAGTGAAAACAGAGGACTATAGAACCTCTTTGTCTGGGCAGGCCTATGCGAATAAAGAAATGAAACTGACTAAAGAACACTACAAGTAAAGTTGACATGTCATTAATATGATTATATATGTGAATTTAAGAAGTGAATGGAAAACAGATGGAAGAAGACACATACAAACACATCCACACACAAGCCTATACTAACACTAGATCATCTCTTTGCATTGACAGCGCATGCACGATCCCCCAAATTTTACCAAACCTTCAAATAACACCACACCACTGCATTTGGACCTGACCAGGACAGAGCACAGCACAGCACAGCATAGAACATTCTCTGAGATGCCCCCATACACAGGGTGGAGGGGCGGGGCAGAGGGTAGATCAGGCAAGCTGTTAGAGGACAGACAGCAAGGCTTTCTTGGTAAGTGGAGGCAAAAGAAGGACACAGAAGAGTGTAACAGTATGTCTGCATGCAGCAGCTGATGGGCGCATGCTTCAGTAATCGTCCCGTAGGAGACGAGAGGGCGGTTAATTCAGGAAGAGACCATGTTCTCCGTTTCAACCAGAAAGGACGAGATAAATGACAGACTACAGCATTTGCCTGTAGTCGTCATAATGCCGTGTGGGCGTATCAATTTAGAAAAACAAAGGAGGAAATTATCATAGTTGTTGCTTGAAACCTTTCAAAAAGAGAGAGAGACCTGGTGCTCTTTTGAAGAAACTCATTATAATTTAGTTGTTTAGTACAAAAAGACCTTATCCTGTTAGTAGGAAGCAAACTTCAAAGCAGTAGTCATTACTGAAAACAACTAGAAGACAGCACGTTTCCAGACTGGATCAGAAGATGATTCGTAAGATCAGTGGGAGGTAGTAGTAGTAGAAGTCAAACAATGCACACTCGAGGGTTTGGTGTTGACCCTACCTGAGGCAACCTGGGACTAAGCACTGAGTCCTGAAACACTAGTCTATAGAGAAAACAGAAACAACCGTGGTCAACCTGGTTACACACTCACACTACTCCAGCGATGCAGCGCCCCCCACAGGACAGCCTGGCCAGGTGACTGAGACCTGAACCACCCCTCACTTTCTCTCTATAGAGGTAAGATTTGCATGTATGTGGGTATGATTATTTGTCATATAGGAGGTAATAATAAGGGCTAATAATTTCTGTTTGCAGCTCAATTATGCATGTATGTAACGTGTAGCTTTATAGTACGGCTTAGACATTAAGTTCAGGTGGTTAAACTTTAGCAAAGAACTATTTTTAAAACATGTACCTGTCTTTTAATTCCAAATTACCTATAATCTGAAAAAGGTGTAAGGTGTGTAATATTTCACTTTCAGCATCTGTGTTTTAATGAGCTGTGTGCCATGTTGTTGTGGAGACTTAGAGAAAATTTCTGCTTCATTTTTGGAGTGGAAAGGCGTGATAAATCTTGGCTGATTTTATTCCCATCAAGGGCTCAGTCACCTGTAGCCGGGGCAGTCTGCGGTATGGGCGAGTGGACGCACATGCAGAATCACCCGCAGAGGAAAAACAAAAGAGAAAAGCAGTGAGGGGGAGAGTGCGGTGTGGGTGAGACGTGAGTTTACTTACATACAAGTCTGCAGCGCCGTAAAACCCATCCTGATAGACCACACTGAGAAAGATAGAGGAGGGGAGGGAGGAGAGGAGGAGGAGAGAGGGAGAGCGGTGGAGGAACAGATGGTGGTGCACAGTCCCAAAACCAAAGTGGAGGCGATTCACAACACAGCAACAAAATACAGAGGGGGTAGAGGAGAAGAGGAGAGAAAAGAGAAGAGAGAAACAACAGTTATTTCACACCCATGCAGCATGCAGAGGAAATAAAACCTCCATTGAAGCTCCACAGCTAAACCATTATGCACAATAGACCCATAGGAGCAATAAAAACGTTCAGTGGGCCAAATGAAACAACAAACTGCCATTGTTCCCTGCCTGCTGAAAGTCTCCCAGGGACAGGCCACTTTATGAGGGGAATGGAGTTTGAGAGCCGTGTGCGTTGTAACTGTGGAGCAGATATGGAGAGGGTATTTCCTGCTACCCAAATTTTCCATCTTGCTTAATTTGAATCATGACAGTAAGCGCCCGTACGGCTATTTCCCAATCAATGCGGCTTTGATTCGAGTATCATTGTAATCATGACCCCATTAGCCAATCAGCCCCGCACAGCAGCTACATGCACAGTAACAGACAGACTGCAGTGGGTTGTGTGTGTGCAGAGGGGAGAGCAGAATGATATGGATGTGTTTATGCTAATCGGCTGATGCTGGTATCTGTGTTGTTTATTCAAATGGGCCCGTCGCACTCGTCTCAAAGGCCGGCGCGCTGACTGACAATGTGCCAGTTGGACGAGGTCTAAGCACCGCTGTAATAAAGTGGGACCAGCTCAAATAGGAGCAGGGAGCAGTATTTGGAAAATTGCACACTAGAGTTGCAAATAGAGGCTAAGCTTAAGCTAAAACATATCAGGCTTTTGTATTTGATCCCCACCATGTACATCTATAAACAGCGGCCACATAAATAGGTACACCAGTTTTATTCCACTACACATGGTTGTGCTCGAAGGCATGACACTTTGGAAACTAATCTTTGCAGTGTACACAAAATTTCAACTGAGCAGCAATTTTGAGCTCAAAACTTGCTTATAAAGCTATGTTGGAAAGAATAAACTGTTAAAATGAGACATGGAAAGGTGCTTTATAGATTCAACTAAGACCCCTGGTGCTTTCTACCTGCCAGCTGAGCATAGGAAAATGAGAACTGATTTACATTGTTCAGCAAATTAGAATTTCTAAGAACTGGTAACATAGAAGAAACTAGAACTAGGTAACAAGCATATAATTTGTAGGTAGTGTTTGCAGCCCCTTGTTCCCCTGTGTGCAGTTTTGTCAGATAAAGGAAAACGGCTTTGAGGGCAAAAGGTGTACCTATTATAGTGGCCCTATAGAGAGCCCTGACTGTAGTGAGTGCAGTGGACAGAGGGGGCGCTCAGAGCAGGAGTGTGACTTACCCGGGGTAGGCGGGGATGGCGGCTTGGGGCACCGCAGCCCGCACAGCGCTGTAAACGGGCCGGCCCCTCCCTCGGAGGTGCGCCCCGCGGAATGCTGCTGCTGCTGTGGTGGCCGCTGCAGCAGCTGCCGATGGGTACGGGAACCCTGGCACTGGGAAAAACCAGAGGAACATGAATCAAATCCAGAAAAATACAACCAGGAAATTAACAGAAACGAACAAAGAGAATAAGTAAACTCAATCCTTAGGCACAACATAAATATATCCATATAAATTCAAAGGAAATGTGACCTACATTTAAAACACTATGGGACTTTATATACTGTGCACGTCTCTACAAGAATATGGTTCCATGAGACTGCGCAGTCTGTCCATAATTAATAGTAACAGTTATAGTAGTGGCCAAATGCCTATTTAAATAAACAGTGCCCTTTTATACTCAGTCACCAAAACCCGGGTTAAACCCCCCCCAGAACGATCCGACAGCATGAGTAGACATTCATCAGAGCTGGTCTCCTGGGGTCTCACCTGCATAGAGCTCTGGGCCATACACTGCTCCCACCATGGGACTCAATTTCCAACCTGCTGATGACAGTCGCAGAGTCAAATAAAACAACATTACACTGCCATTCTCTTTTACCACACTCATTCACTTTTATAGAGGGCTGTTGGGTCCAGTGGGCGCCTAAAGAGCAGCTGAATTGATTAAAATACGATAAGTAGTTCGAGAAAGGAGGAAGTCAGTAATGTCTTCGTCCCTAGGAGTATTTTCCAGATGGATGAAACACCACAAGTCATTTCACAAGGACTGAATGCAGATAGCTAAAAATGAAAACCGTAAAAGTATTGAATATTTCCTTAGGGCGAAAATACAGTCTATAAAAAGGGTGAGGCATGGACACAAAAAGCATATTTTCTTCTGAATTCATACTTTGCCCACGTGATATGATCCTTTGGTGGTGATTCAAATGTTACAATGGCCATATTTTCTTAGACTTGGCCTGTGCTTAGCTGTGCCACTGAGCAGTAAGGCCTCAGATGGCATTAATAATCAACGTGGTTTCGATCTTGTACAAAACATTATGGAGGAGAGGAACTTTACTGCTGTAAAATCCTATCCTGGATTTCAGTACACATTTTTTCCTATGGACATAGTATGGCAAATTAGCAAATGGTGCTGCATAAATGTATCTGTATTACGTAAATGTGTTCCATAAAGTAGAAAAATTGGTTTCCATTAGTGAGTTGATTTCCATTAGTGTTCTTTTTAATAGATAATAGATCATATATAATTATTGATCGTTCATCTGCTAACACAAATGCTCAAGTCTTTACTTTTAAGATTGCTGGCCAGTTTCAGCGTGAGTGAGTGAACTGGTTACCATAAGGCAGTGCGCTGAGAGCCTCTCCGTTTGGATAGGGGCTGACCATTTTCTTGTTAGTCATCACCCTGGCTGTGGCATTGTTCACCTGGAGACGGAGGAGGAGACAGTCAGAGGCAAAGACACCCACAGAGCTGTACTTTAACACATTTCACAGTTCTCTGCTGGCATGCTCACTCTAACTTTGTCTATTAGGGCTATTTAATTCACTTCACCATTTTGTTTCTTACATAACCTATAAAACAGCATTATTCCCCAGCGCTGTAGTTGCCCTGTGGGAGTGCATACAAGGATTTCAGCTGTGCTCTGCTCCTGTCATGGCTGCCTAACACTTTCACTTCTGTCTGTGTGTTGCATGTCAATTACAGCGGGGAGAAAAAGTGGGTGGGAACCGTTATGGAGATTTTTAGTCATCATGCAATTAAAAGCCAGTTGCCCAGAGAAGATTTGGTGATTCATTGCGGGTAGGCATTAGGGCTGCCATGGGGACAGCACTGCTTATGTTCCTGTGTCGAAGAGGGACAGAGTAAAAGAAACACAGCAGCAGTTTAGTCTTTTGGAGCAGGCACGTTGTATGATCCATTGAGAATTTTAATACGTGCACATGTTGTGTGCACATCCACTGACATTTTCAGGCTAATGCCTATGCCTCTCTCTCCAAGATGGCCGATAATCTTCTTTCGGCTTCAAAGGCTCATGCACGGGTCCCTTGATCTGTCCTCATCTTCCTTTGATGGGCTTTAAAAGAAGGAGATTGTAGCTTCCTCTAATAACGGTGCAGTATGAGTGTGCTGTTCCACTGCACAATGTGAAACAAGCTAAAGATTAATGACCTTTAGGCGCGCCATGATGAGTGTGCTTATGTGTGACAAAAAAGGACACAGACTGGGAAATGAGTGCCCGTGTGGATGTAAACACCGCACTCCCATTTAGGAAACCATTACGGCTCCACTGCTGTTCACAGAACTTCTCGCGACATATTTTTCTATCAGCCAGCCTTCATTAATTCAAATGGAAATGGGGTTTACTTCATTTTTCCCCTCATTCCAAATGACAAGGTCAGTGGTGATTGATTCAATTAGCATAGCCGGAGTAGCTTTCTGATGACATTGTTCACTCGAGCCTAAAGCATTTCTGCACTGCAGTAGTACTATGCATTTCAGCTGAGAGTCCTTAAAGGAACGCCTCTACAGCAGTTGGGTTATTCTTCAGCTTTTGGTGTTTTAAAAAGTTAACACGGACACCAGGTACATAAGCATCCTACACAGCCTTGACTGAATTTTGTAATGAAAATAATATTCTTTAGTTTGCAGAACTGAACGGTTTGGAGCACTGCACTGAATGGAGCACAGTGCAAAGCCATAATCTACTGTGCATGGAGAAATTAAAAGGGATGTTACAGGAAGTAAACAAAATAATTTGGGCAAAAGTTTCAGGGCAGCAAATCTAGGAACATTCTTTTTTTCAACAATGGCACTTCTTTAGCATGTATGATTCAACATAAGCAGCAGTGTGGAGCCCACAGCAGATGAGTCACGTTGTATTCACAGCATGCCTGGGGAGGGAGCATTGTCATCCAGAGGGGGGCTCTCCCGACAGCCTTTCTCTGTTATTTGTCACCTGTCTGTATACTGTTTGAGTCATGCACAATTAATGCAATTAATTAGGTGGACACATGCAAATTAACCAAAAGTCGGCATGGAAGGCAAATCTGACTTGATAACTGAACTTTTCTAGGCCCATCATTTTCCTTAACAATAAATAATACGAATTACTCAAATCAGGCATGTCCATATGAAACCAAACTTGTGGGGTTTACAAACCTAAAAAAAAAAAATAATTAAATACAAAAATAGGGGATAGAAAGAGGGGGTGCAAAAACATTTTTGGACAAAATTAAGAATCATATACCACAAAAATTAACACGCAGCCATATATGGGTGCATCACATGACTAAAAAGTGGAGGAGAAAAATAAAAATAAAATCAGCCAATCAGCAAGCGTCGGATGCAGCATAGAAACCAATCAAATTACAATAGCAGCACTCCCACATCAAACACATACAAGACAGAGATGGGACAGGTACATGAGGAGTGCAGGTGAGAGTAAGAGACAGAGCCAGTCAAAATCAGGACAGAGATGAAGTGAAGAGAAAGAGGAACACAAAATGAATGAACAAAATACCAAGGTGCATCATTCAAATAAAGCAATATTAGATTTGGTGACCATTCTCCTGCAAATCTCATTGTATGTGGTGAGAGAGAGACAGAAGAGAGAGAAAGAAATCCTCATTCCCAAAAAAGAGAAATGAAATAAACATGAGACACTTGGCCAGGCATTAGAACTGTGTCACACACTGAGACCAGTACACTACAACTACGTCGTCTACCACTACTGAGAACACAAGACAGTCCACTACAAGAACCAAACTAAAACAAAAGTAAAGGAAAACAAAATGGCAGCATGTAGACCCAGCAAGGTAAACCCCATATCGGTTCAGAGATGCATATGGTTAATATACTGGCTGTTTTTAGATGTCATCATACCTGCACAAGCTTTTAAAGGGATGCTACTGTAATAAGCACATGGCAGTTCTGTCAGGCATTCTTAAAAAGTGAACACATTTGTTTTTAGTGCCAGTTTTCAGTGTTTCCAGGGATGAGACTGGTGGACTCACTTTTGAAGTCGATCTTGAATAGCTTTGGAGTCTGTATTCCCTGCCTTGATACGTTTACATTTCTGAAGTGAAATGTACAGTCTTACAATCTTCATAAATTGACTCCCAACTAAAGCTTCAAACAGTCCCTTCGAAAAATGTAAAGTATCCTAACCCAATTAATCTTTTAGTAAGAGTGTGGCCACACAAACAGAACTGTGCCCACTGGTGCCGGTCTACAATATAACAAGGTAACGTACTGTGAGTATGTTAACATACAGCGTGTACATTTTGCAGATCAATCCTTAGCAGGCAGGTCAATGAAACGAGAGGCATTACATCATTTGTGCAGATTTGTAATGATTGGGGAAACAAACAGTATGCATTTAAGGTCCTGGGGGAGAATTTAGCAGACAGATCAAGGATCTTTGCATCGAGTGATTACATCGGCTCATTCTCAGAGGTGTTAATGAGATGGTGGGGGTGTTAGGGCTAATACAGCTATTGCTTTGTCTGTCTATGTGACAGCAGACAGGAACTAGCACTACAATTATTACTAACTCCAATATCATTAGAACTAGTTCAAAGATGGGGTGGGGGAGTGGGATCAGTTTCAGTGATAAATGTTTGTACACAACTTACCGTTGCCGTAGAAACAGCGAGTGGTTACCGTGGAGACTGACAACAACACACAGAAGTCGTCAGGAAAACAGAAAAAATATAATAAATAAAAAGAACAAATAATCCTACAAAACAAAGGAAGCCTAAAATGTCTCCGCTTATGGCCCCTTTAAAGCTCATAGAATCTGTTAACAGACCATTTTAGCAACACTCAGCTAATCTCTAAAAATCTAACCACTGGACAGAATAATGGAGATATGGGGCAACCTTGCTTTACAAAAAGCTAGCCAGTTAAAATGATCGGTGTCAACCAGTCAAAAAGCACACCAGTCTCCATTTAAGAATAGCAATGGGATGGTTTGACACGGTCTGGGGCAATTACAGTCAAAGGACAAAGGGAGCTACTTTAGTTAGAAGCTGCAAGAAAAGGCTTTTGTGGTTTAAGTCAAGCCACCAGGGGAGAGCTTATTTTTAAATTGTTTGTGGGAAAAATGGCTAACATTTCCTCTCTCTACCACCAGTCACCATAAAAACATTCAAACAATACAAGAGTGGTTACAAAAGACAGAAATGTTTTCAAAATAAGGAAAATATGAATTAGAAAAGATATGAAAGAATTTAAAGACTGGCAATAAGAAGAGGTAAAGAAGAGGAAGGATGGATTGGACACACAGTCAAAAACAGACAAGTGGAACGGGAAAGTGCAAACTCTCTTTCCCCTTTTGGACAATTGTCACTCATGTACAAAGCATACACGCATGGATACACACACGTCCAATAGTCTTGTCTAAAAACAAGTCATGCAGGAACACAAACTCAATATGACAAAACTGGACAAGTCAAATTCCAGAGAGGGGAAGTGAGGGAGCCGCTCATCTGAAACTGGGACATGGGAGCTGGCAGCCTTGGTTTGTGCACGTGTCTTATCATTCCAAACCTTTTAGCGGTGAATAAAAGCCTCGGAAATGCTCATGGAAATGATGAGGCTGAGGCTCAGGTGAAGAGGAACGCCAGCTGTGTCCCATTGCCGAGTGTTGTCCAGGATGGACGAACATGCAAGACCCTCACTCCATTTACCCACAAGCATTAGGGCTGCACAATATCTTCACTTTTTATATGATAAAACTCTACTTTCTTGTTTTAAACAACATTCACCATCTGATCTGTGCATAATAGTTTAACTGCTCACAGGTCATAGCAGAGGCATGATGTGAATGTTTCATAAATGATAGAAAAGAAAGCTTTCAGTTAGACTACTTATCTTGAGTATAAAAAGCCATTAAAAGGAATTATAAATGTACTTTTATAACTTTTACTGATCTGAGCAACAATTATGTCTCAGGATATTGTGCAGCCCAAACACAGAAATGACACACTTGTCTCACTCACATGCAGATGCAACACACACACCTCAGCTCCTTTACACAGTTCCCTTTAACCGTCTAAAACTCTGCGCTGAGAAGAGCTGTCATTACAGCAGTTGAATAGGGCCACAGCTTTAAGCGTGTGTTAATAGGGGGCTAAAAGTTCCTATAGTTTCCTCCTCTGTGGCCCACATGTGCCACTCCTGTCCTTGGTGGAGTTCTAGCGCATGGGTGCTCAACAAAGATCAAAGTTAAACTGATAAAGCTGGCACTTTTTCAGTGTTAATTGTTTCAGGCCGACTGGGTAAACAACTTAATTGAATGCCTTTATTCCAATCTGTAGTTTATCTTGACAGTCTGACACTGCAGCAGATGGAACCATCGCAGAAATTTAAATAAAGATGAGCTAAACTGCATATCTTTTTCAGAGCTTAGATTCTTAGCTATGGAAGAACAGGTGGTACAATGGGCCAAATCTGTTTACTAGACCAACACTTTGTGGATTTGATTAGCACTACTGGTCATGAAATCAAAACTGGCTTTAATGATAAATGTGTATGTTTTTGGTGTGTACATGGAAGCGTACTACTCAGTAATGGCTTTTCTGTCAGTTGATGCATGAATGACTAAACACATGTGGTTAAATGGATCCAAGGACCTTTCCATCATTATCTTTCAAAGTTAATGGCAGTGGTGCGCATGTGCACAAGGCAAACCAATGCTATGAAGAAGGTCAGCTGAACTATTTGTGATTGAGCATTGGCACAAACATGGTTAGAGATGGATGAGGGGAGATGCTTTGAGGTGTTTGTGAGTGCATATCAGCAGACACACTTGCACGCCTATATATAGGACCCTGCAGTCCATATATAGATGAAGAGAATGAGATGAGGCCACAGAACAGAAGGTAGAGAGACAATTGTAGTTGGGCGACTTACATGGACACATTGGAAGCACACGGCAAAGTGACTTCTTCAAAACGCAGAGTTTTATTCCAGACAAAGAGAAGTACAGTGGAACTTTGAGCACAACTTGAGCGTAGACTGTTTTATAATGGCTAACTGCATGCACTATTAGTAACTGCTAAATAATCATCTACAAACATGCACTGAGAATACAAAATGCCAGATTGGAGTCATTTAAAACTCAATTCAGCTCCTCAGCCCTATTCCAGTGAGTGGAATCACTCCCCAAGGCCACAGAGTGCAGCTGATTTCATGCTAAATGAACAAATGTGGAAGTTTCATCTATGGAATTCAAAACAACATCTTGACATGCAAAACAAAACATCTGACTACCTCAATAGAGCTGTGTAATCTTACCTACATTTATGTCAGTAAATAACCATGCTAAACTGACATGCTAGCAAACTATGGTCACACAAAACCAGCCTTATACAAATGGCCTATATTTCAGAGTTACTTTTCCATCTTTTATAAATATAGTCTAATAAACTCTGAAATGATATGACCCGGTTAAGATGAGAGTTAACATCTGTGAGAGGGGAGAAATGGCACAAATGCTGCTTTGGAAAAATAAACACATCAATATTTGTCCTGTGTCAGCCTTTTGTCTCTCTGAGCCCATGCACCAAAACACTCCACAGGCTCCCGCTGCTTGACCCACCATGCAGCCAATTCACCGCGGCCCGCACCACTACGCCAGTACAACATGCAGAGTGATTCAAAACTCAAAATGAAGACAAACTGCTTTCTCGTTATTACAAAGTGGCTGGGAACATGCATGGATTTGGAAAGGACTCAACAACACAACACAGACAGGTTATGTTGGCTCCATCTGTATCCATTCAGCTGGCTGATTGACTGGAGATGGAGGTGAAGGGGGTGTGGAGCAGGTGGTTGTCTTTCATTCGCAACCAACCATTCTGCCAAATAAAAAACAAAAAAGGATCCAGCCAGTCTCATCTGTCATGCAAGAAATGACTTCAACATCCACACACACTCACAAGGAGGAGTTCCACCATAAGCCCATGCACAGGTCCTGGCTTACAGTGGCTTGGGTCTCCAAAATAGACAGTGGCTGTTTGAAACCCCCAAGTAAAAAGAAAAGAGCAACTGGACACAGTCAGCACATGCTTCTGTTACAAAAGAAAAACACAACCTCCACCCACAGAACTGCACATCAAACTCCTCTGGCCAAATCTCCAGAAAGTGAACATGCGTCAGTGTCGCTGTGATCCCAGCATGCTGCCGTTGCACCAGAAGCTTGTCACAACCACTTAGCCACAGCACCGGGAGAGAGGAACACAGAGGGATTTCTACACTAAAGAACTCAATGAGTGTTTGACAGCCATCTGCCATGCATCATCCTTTCCCTGCGTTCCTCTAAGTTACCTCCGGTACCACCACACAAACATTCCCATTTTAGCACAAAGAAAAGTTGGAACGTCACGTGGCTATGAGTTCAGTGAGGGAAAAAGGTGAAAAGGCAAATATGTCAAAATAAAGGCAGCAGAAGAAAAGTAAACAGCATGCCTTATGTACTGTTGTTGCACCCCCAATCACTGGCACCACCAAAACACAAGGAGGAGGGAAACAGATTTGGAAGTAATAGTTTTGTAGGAAAGGGTCCAGGGAGTGGGATACCAGTGGGCTGCATCAGAGCATGTGACTAGAGGGAGGATGAGTTCTAGCTAGCAGTCATTGTACAAGCACAAGAGTATAAGAGAAGCCAGAAGGAGGGAGTGGTGGTAGAGACAGCGTGAAGAAAATTACCTCAATCTTACGGCCCTCCACCAGTGTGCCGTGAAGCTTTTCTCTGGCTTTTTCTGCATCTGCGCTGGTCTCAAATGTCACGAAGCCAAAACCCTGTGGTACACAGCACAGGTGACAGGCGGTGAGAGCAGCACAAGTACTTAGGCACTTAAGGAACACTTGGAGTCTTAGCCAGTCAACAAATATGTGTATACTTACCTTTGATCCCCTCTCGTTGAAAATAATCTCTACATCAAGAATTTTCCCAAATTGCTGAAAATTAATAAAAAAGAAACACATTTTAAAATTGTATACATTTTAATCAACACACTGAAGCATTGAAATCATTAATATTTCTAATAAAAGCCAAATCAAAGCCAAATGTTGCCAAATAAAAGGGCAGGCAGCTTCAAGTTATTTTTATACATAGAGTTATGATAAAATGTCGAGGCCCTCAACACTGAAATCACAAGAGTAACTAAGAGGCATTCTAATTACTTGACACCAGGGGTCACTATAGCACCAAAGACAAAAAGCTCTTGCTACTTCTCTTTCCCTTGAACCCTGGCCTCTTGCTAGCACTGACACACACAGGCAATTATCCTAGGTCTGTTTCTCTCATTCATTTATGCCTGTGCCCACCCCTCTGTCATGTGGCCTGGTCCCTGCAGAGTGGTGCTTACTTGATTTATTGATTCTTACCCCAAACATCTGCCGGAGGTCTGGGTCCCGGAATCTGAAGGGGATGTTGGAGACGTGGAGCCTTTTTGGAGCGCCTTTGGCCTCTGAATCTCCTGGGGACCCTCCTCCTGCTCCTGCCGAGCCCCCTGTCCCACACTGCACCCCCGCCTCTCCTTGGGACGACTCGTCTGTCTTGACCTGTGTGGAGCAGGAAAAAATGAAGGATGGAACATAGAAAAAGCAATTTCACTAAAGCAAACCACATTTTCCAGAAAAGAAAAAGGAAAACAATACTTACATTATTGTTTGTTGTAGTAGCAGCACCGTTGGCCCCATTCGCACTGGCCCCTACTTCTGCTGTGCCCTGGCCCGCAGCACCAAACATGGCCCCGGGGCCGAATTCTGTCCCGGGTAGGCCGTTTTGAGGTGGGGGCGGAGGGGGGAACGCTGCAAAAGGCGGAGCTACCAGTCCTTCCTGTCCTCCTGTCGAATCCTGGGAGCCCTGGAGGAGCGCACACAAGGAGAAAGAGGAGAAGGAGAGGAAGAGAACCGATTAGCATATATACAGTCAGCACAGCGTTTCCATTGGCTGATGAAGGCAGAATACGAGGGTTAAAACCTGCCTATTACATTTCACTCTCTCTCCCTCTCTGTCTCTCTCTCTCTCGTTCCCTCTCTCTCTCTCTCTCTCTCTCTCTCTCTCTCTCTCCGCTCGCTCACCGCTCCCCCCTCCCTTTACCTCCATATCTCTGACAGGCATGTGTTTTCAGTCAGCCGACCATGAAATATTTACAGCAAACACATCTATTATTAAGAGTCTGAAAATTCGATACACAGTTTGAGATACCAAGATGCTCATAGGATGCATGGACACACACACACGCAGATAAATAAACCGTGACATGTTTACTGCGATTCTTTTTTCTTTTTAAGCTGTAAAAGCAGTGGGTTTCTTTGAGGCGGCATCTATAATTCAGATTTACTGTGTATCAGATAGAGCTGTAAAAGAACAAAGACCGGGGAGTCCTATCAGGAATAGCAGGAGCATCCACAGATTCTTTACAGCCCAGGTCCAATACATGCGCGCCTTATCTCGGGGAGTGACTGCGCTGCACTGCTGCTGTCTCTGCAATCTTCACAGCCTCAAGGGCAGGCTCAAGTTTTCACACCTGGTCTGAGAAGGTGGGCAAACTGTGGAGGATGGAGAGAGACCAAGTGGGAAAGGATAGAGGACAACAGCAGCAACACAAATGTCCCATAATCACAGTATTCTCATCACAAGAGATGTGAGTATCCAATCACAAATCTAAAAGGTAGTGTGCACTGTAGCATTTTAATTATGTTTATGCTGATTGACAAACTGTGTGGATGTGTGTTCACTACTCTAGAAGAGATTATTGTGGATTATGTTGTCATATAATATTGTCCACACTGTTAAACAATGAAATGTCTAATATTAATCTGGACCCTTCTTTGTGCAGCAAACAAACAGCCACTTCAAATCAAACCAACAAAACAATGCTGAGTGTGCCGAGCAACTATTATATCAAAGTCAGACAGTTTTGTGATAGTAAAGGTGACATGGTTAAGATAATATTTAGAGACATTGTTGTTGAGGGGTTTTGTTTTATTTAATCAAAATAAAACACAGGCCGAGCGGAATGACATACAGCATCCACACCATGAAGCGCTGGTGTGGTGTCTGCCGCGGGCTGATGTGGGCAGGGTGACGCCTAGAGACACTCAGTCTCCAGACAGCCGTTTTAATTAGACAGAGTAACTAAGATGCAACGCCACAAAGCAAATGAGTGCGCTCTCCGTCTCCCCCTTTCTCTGCCTATAGGCTGCCTGGCTGCACACAGCTCCTGTACTGTGACAACTGTATTCTGCTAGTTAGGGCTAAAGCTCATCTGAGAGACAGGCGGCTCTGGGCACAAGCGACAGAGCATGCAACTGGAAATGCAGTCTAATCCCAGTGCAGCAGGGGAAGCACTCCATTTTGTCTTTGTTGTTCACCAGAGGCTATAAGACTGTTTTTATTTTATTTGAAGAAATCTTACCTAAATGCAAAATGTAAAATGAATTATGTACATAAGAAACATGGGTGACTTTTTTTAAATTAGCCTTATATGTAGTCAAAAAACATGCATAAAAACAACATGATTATGCATTTTTGCTGTAGGCAACACAGTGTGCAACATGGACGTCTGTTGATACCATGTTGATACTCTCATTATTTAAACGGTGATGGCGGCACAATAGAAATGTGTGGGCTACCTCTAAACTTCTAATTATCCTCATTATTGTGCAGTTCATGTTTTTCTACTAATGCATTCTACTGCAGCAATCACAAAACTTGGGCTGGAAAGTTTGGACCACATTAAATGAGCGTGTCACTATTTCCCATAGTCCCTGGCTCTCCTCCTCTGTCTTTTTCCATTATTGCACTTTTCCTGGCTGGCCCTGTGTATATCTCCAGTATATGATGTTGCCATGTAGGGCTGCACGGCTCCATAGTCAGGAATGCTTCTGGTGCAGTCTGGAGGAGGCCTGCTTCTCATTTATGATCCACGTCCACCGCCATCGCATTCTCCATTTATCAACTCACCACTTCAGCCTCTAACAAATTTGAGCTCACGCTGGATAAATCTAATACAACATAGAGCTAAACGTGGACGCAAAGTCAATAGAGCAAACCTGCGCCAGCCAAAAAAAAATACACACAGTCTTTTTTTCAATTGTTATGTAACAATAATTTATGGCGATATTCTCCCATTTAAAATGTGTGAGGTTTTTAATAGAGCAAGTAATTGAATAAAAGTGCACATCTCAGTTGAATCTAAACGGCCACTTATTCAGCCTAATTACTTTTCTGATTAATCTTGATCCCCATGCCCCAATGTCGCGAGACGTTTTGGATTCTGTTCATTTGACTCCCAGCTGTGAACATGTCAGAATGATCCCTGGGCTGGGTAATGCCTTTTGAAGCACAGGCTCTAACATGTTTGGAGCCTATACATGTCCTCACAAGCGGGTTTAGCTGAACCCAGCTAAAGCAGACCAAATGCGATGGATCTTAACAGCTTGCCTTTCGATAAGTGTTGGTCATGCTTCTCTAACATGTGGTGACCGAGTCTGTGGCAGATACAAACACAAGGCATTTGTCACACCAGGCAAGTTCTTCTGCTTAACAAAGGGAGCGTGTCCAAGAACAACATGGACCTTCTTCCATGTTGCAATGGGATTAGGCAGCATTTACAGTAGAGGAGTGGCAGCTATCAAAAAGGCTAATGACAACAAGAGCACTGGAATACAAAAATAGAGCATGTATTGGAAATTTGGTGGCGTCCCAATTGAATGACTTTCTGATGTAATAAAAGTAAATAAAAAATAGGGAAACAAAACACCAGGGAAAATGTTATATCAGTTATCATGTTTGTTTAGTATTGCAATCCTTTATTATACTTTAATACAGGTTCAGTTCATTGAAAAATGGAATGAACTGTCAAAATAAAAAACAATAACAAAATCTTAATAAAGAAAACCACGATAATTACATTTTAATTTAAAACTACATTAACTTTCTGTCAAATAACCTGAGTCTTAAAAAAGGCATGTTGTGCTTGTGTCTACTACATAGTTATAAACTATGACACCAATGGATCATTTTCTTATAATTTAGTTTTAGATTGCAATATTCATCTTCATAAAAGAAACAAGTCCACCGATATCCACATTAGAAAACTGTGGTGTCCAATGGGAGCAGGCATTGTCTTGAACATCATCATAACCAAGAGTTGTCAGCACATCCTATTAATATCTACAGATCAGTGTAGAGAGAAGCATTCTTAACAAAATTCTGTACCAAAAATGACTATGCTACGGTGCTGAATCCTGTGAGTATCAGCACCTAAGAAAATAAAACTAGAGAACAAAGTACAAAGCAATGTGTGTGTACCAAAGGCAGAGAAAACGGGGGTTGATTCGAGAAATAAGGTTTTGAATAAAAGAGAATAAAGTTTACTCAAACAGGTATGAATCATTCCATATACAACTTCAAGAGTGTAAATGAGAAGGAGTAACAATGATAACAGACTTTTTAGAGCAGGGGTATCAAACTCAAGTTCACAGAGGGCCAAAATTAAAAACTGGGACTAATTCGTGGGCCAAACTAAATATTTATTGAACATTTTCAACAACATCTGCATGTTTTTGCTTCTTTCAAGATATGTAATATTAAACCTTTTCTTATTAAAATAAATGTTTAATAATAGTTTTGCTTAAACACTGAATGCAAAACAAGCATAATATAAAATAACAAAGTTTTAAATAAATAATGTCTCTATAGCCTACCTGTAGCCGGCAGGCCAGCTCTAATATATATTTGATATGATCTCACGGGCAAAATTTGGCCCTTGGGCCTGCGTTTGACATGTCTGTTTTAGAGGTTTCAACTACCGTAAATTACAGACTCCAAGCCACTACTTTTTTCACACTCTTTGAAACCTGCAGCTAATAAAGTGATGTGGCTAATATATGGACGGATTCTTTGTTTGACACATTGTCCATTCACATATACAGTCTATGGTTTGGCAACAAAGCGGATACGCGCAGTCTGCGTGCAGAAAGTGCCGCTGTGGATCTAGGGTTAACATGAAGTTGCTTCACTGCCCAGCAATATTGTTAGTGCACTCAAATAGTTTATCGCCATGTGATAAAATAAGGTATGATGCTAAATTATCATTAGTGAGGGGGATACGTCTTACCCGTATGTGTAAATGGTGAGAAGAAATGTCACAAACTTCAGTAGCCGGACATCCACTCATATCTGATTGACGGAAGTATCCCTGCTCACGAGAGAATCTGAAATCTGCTGAACTCCTACAAGACACTGACATGATATAGACAGGACAGAGACTCTTGCAGGAGACATGTGCAGTAGAGCTCGGGGAGACGGGGGTGATGCGCCAAGGAAGATGCTTGTACGATAGTATTTTGAACAGTTATTTTGTGCTCCATGCACACACCCTCCTCATGGAAAATACACAAAGAAATACAGATGTTGCAGCTTTTAAGTTAAAGGCGATTGATGTGGCTGTCGAATGAAATACAGCTGCTGCACGTGAGCTCAGCATCAATGGCCAAGTCAATGGTGAGACTTCGGTGACAGCAGACAATAAAAGCAGATGGGCCGAACTTGAGAACGTTCTTGAAGACGTGGACACCTGCGGCTTATATTCAGTTGCGGCTTATATATGTACAATTTTAAAATTTTGTTAAAATTTAGTTGATGCGGCTTATATTCAGGTGCACTCAATGGTCCGGAAAATACGGTATTTTATTTTAATAGGTGCTTTAATGAAATATGTTTGGTTTTGTCAAATATAGATCATCGTATTGGTCAATAATGCAACATGTTTTGCAGCCCTAATACGATGTAGAACTGGATAAAAATATACATACAAAATTATAAGGAGTCCATTACACTTTCAGAGATAGAAA